CAGAAACTCTCTTGGTCTGCATTAACATATAATATTTATATGTGCTTTATTCATTTCCATTCAAAAGTTTAGAGCAATGTAGCTCCCCTGGAGTTTGCATAATGGATGATATGGTAATAGCTAAGACAGAAGTTTCATTATAGGGAGAAAACTAGGATACATTTCACAGCTTCTGGAAATATCTACAATACCTTTCACCTTAAGTTTCAGATGGCAGCAATGTGGTTGGAACTGAAGAGAACAGTTTTGACCGCAGCTATGTAAAAAAGAAATTGGAACATGGACTTTCACGAATATGGCAGGTATGTTTTCTGACTTTTTTTCCCCGTAAATATTTATATAACTCTCCTTTCCCCCTCCACTGGTATTAATTGCAGTAATACTTATACTGATCTTCTTAAAGAAATGTCACTAGGAATTTTGTAAGTGATTAATTTTGATCTGAATGCATCAAAACCATGGAATCTAATTTCTGTGACTCAGTTACTACTTGGTTGCTACACTTACAAACTCAGTCAAGATACCAAAACATAGTGGCAAGACTTGCAATCTGATTTCACTTCCCTCAATCTTTGTGCTACCCCATGATCTATTTTCTTGTCGTGAGCTTTTTTCTGTTAGCACAGTCATACTGCTTTGTTTTTCTGCTGTAACCTGCCTGGGCTTCACAATGTTCCTGGTCTGACTGCTGGATCAGTTTGATGTGCAGTGACACCCAAAACGTATGATGAAAAAGCTATAAACGTTTTACGTGACTTAATTGTAGTCCTGAGCTCTGTTTTTGCACTGACAATAAAGTATCTAGGACTTACCTTGTGTTACAGAGTGTTAAAGAAACTGATTATAAAATTATTTTAGAAAGTCAATGAGAAATCATTCATGTCACAGAAAATGGAGCTCTACTCTAAATCTCAAAAGGAAGTTATATGTGTAAGCAGACCAAGAAGTGCTAATGAACCAGGCATTAGCCTTTTTGTCTTTAGTGTATTAAGTATGCAAAAACTTGTTTGCGTTTTGCAGGATGTTCAATTGAAAGTGAAAACATATCTTCTGGGAACAGATTTGTCTAACTTCAAGTATGATGACTTCATATTCGTCCTTGATGTTACCAGCAGGTATTACTGGTGTGATCGTAAGATCATTTAATATGTGTGCACAAACTTGCACTCTGATAAGGCAGCACAGTTAATTAAGGCTGATATTTACATTTTGATGCCAACTTCATTCAGATGTGCTGATAGCCTGAAGAACAATTCTTCATGTGACAGTTTATGAGGATGTGCTTGGGAAAGGTAGCATGAATGGATATGATGCTCAAATAGTGCTTAAATGTGATGATTTCAGTGTGGGATGTGCTTGGGAAAGGTAGCATGAATTGATATGATGCTCAAATAGTGCCTAAATGTGATGATTGCAGTGTAGTCTGTAGAGTTGAGGTGTGCAGGTCTAACATTTTTGTTTCTAAGAGCCGTTAAAGGGACTCTCAGTCAAGAGCAGAAAAATAACACGGTACTGCCAGCCTGTACAGTGTTATGTCCTGTTTTTGGTAATAAAATGAGAGATTCAAACTGTGAGGTGACAGTTTGCCCAGCATCATGGGATCTCAAAAAGACATTTATTTTGCTCATGGCTCTTTGTCTCTGTGTATGGGACATAATGATAGGATTTGGAGGGAAATGAGGCATGGACTTTTGTGGAATGCAAACTTAACACTCAACTTAACATTGGTGCTCTGCTTCTATGGAGATACATGTACGCTCATGGTTGGAACAGCAGTCTTAATAAATCAATAAATATTTCTAAACTTTGCCTTATTACTATAGGCTAATGCAAGTTGGAGAAGAATTTTGTGGCAGTAAGTCTGAAGTTTTGCAAGAATCTATCCGAAGACAAAGTGTTAATTATTTCAAAACATACCACAGGTGAGACTACTATATGTGAAGTGGATCATTCTAATGGCATTTATTTTTGTTGGGTATATTCTTTCCAAACGAATTCCACTGCATAATGCTCCTGCATTGAGGTCGGCAGTGGAATATATTTCATGATGAGAATAAGGCTCTGAACCCTGGAGAAGCGGAGAAGATGGAGAAGCTTTTGCTTGTGCTATGGTTATGGAAAACTCTAGTTCTGCAGCAGATAAAGATGAAAAACTTTTTCATGTAGAATTTCAGTAGTTTTTCAGATTGCTTAAGCTCTCTCCTGGGATCCTGAGGATGAATGTCTCTGGGGTCCATACTTCCAAGCAAAATTGTTTCTTCTTTTTCTATGTAATTTCTTAGTAAGAGTGATCATGTGTGACTATGAAATGGTTTTTTTTCAATATGCAATTTTGTCATGCATCACATAAGATATTTAGAACTGAGTCCATCCTTTTGAATCACGTTTTCATGGCCTTTTCATTGGCAGTATCTAATTACATTTCAGTCAACTCTACTGTTATATCTGAGGCCAGTCGTATGTGCTGTCTTGGACAAGCAGTCTCTGCCTGATATATGATATATGGCTATGAGTGCTTCCAGGCTTGTCTTTCTGTTTGTTTCAATTGTCTTGATTTTCCAAATGCTTTACTTTGGATGATTGACGACTTTTTTTTCTTCTAGTTGTCTAGCATTATATTCTTTCTGGATGTAAAAAGCTAGAAAGACATGAGAAGAAATACAGCATTCTGTGCTCTAAGAAACTCTTACTTTCCTAATCTTGATCTGTTATTCTCTGTTGTGTGGGAGCCGTCATACAACTAAGACATCCAGACCCATTTGATCTGAGACTTTCTGCCTAAAATCCAGAAAGTATGAAAATTATGGCAGAACATTAGACAGTGCCTAAATTCAGAAGATGATAATGTGGTTTGGAATTTCTTCCAGCTTTGGTAGTTTGTAGCTAGGATTTCTTTCAGGACTTTTGATGGAGACCTCAGTTCCAGTTATCTTATAAGTCTGAGCCTTAATCCAAGCCCCATTATGTCTTGTCAGGAGATGCCACCGATCATTATGTCTTGAGGTATTTCTGAATCCTGAACTGAATTTCAGGATCTGATTTTGGTCTACCTGACCATCTTTTACTACACTGACTTACCACATAATGCCTCATTTTGTTAAGTAAATATCATTTTGACTGTTATGGTTCTGCTTATATTTAACAGCTGAGAGAATCATAGACTGATTTTCTAAATTATCTTTGGGTAGGATAAAAGTTAGTGAACACTGATGGAATATGTATAGAAATAATAATTTTTCAAAATAACTTGTGTTTTTTAATAAGATAATGTAATTCTTGTGAAAATAAGAGGAAATATTTATTGATATGACTCTAATTGTGTGAACATTTTAATACTTTTTGCATGTTCTGTGCTGTGTGGGTTTTGTGAAGATTAATTGGCTGATGTTTTCATCCTCAGAAGGAAAAACATAAAAACCCCCTGTCTCACAGCTATATCCCTCAGGTTGTTTTACATAAAAGCTTTAAGCATCTTGCCTTTTGAGATCAAGCTAATGTGGCTTTCACTCCTCTTGTCTGTTTAATTGGAGAGGGAAAAAAAAAGCAGTAGTGCTTTTAAGGATTCATTAGTACATAAAAGCTACATAGAGCTGAAATGCTTTGAGTGCAGGAGTAATCTGTTCTTTGTGTAATTTGACATATGTGGCCTTCTGGGTTGTGTGGTGTTACAGAGAACTGCCAACATAGAGAAAGCATTCAAAAGAATTGGCCATGTAATTCAAAAAACATAGAAGAGAATGTAGTACTAGAGCATACGTGAAGCCTTTTTTGGGGGTAAAAGTTGATTGTTTTGTAAAATTAGAGTGGGCTTTTGGCAAAGAACATTAGTAAGGTGATTTTTGGAATGCAGTTTATTTTTGGTGCTGACACACTCGTAAAAAGGTGTGTCTGATCACTAAAGCTTTCCAGAGAATGAATGCATCAGGTCTTCCATGTGTGCCCCTTTCTAGACATGTATGCTGGTGAAAATGAAGAGCACTTGTTCAATTACTTTGTCAGAGCCTTGATTTCAGCTTTGAAATGCTACAAAAAACGTTGCTCTGTGGCTTTTGAATGTTTGCTTTTTTATGATTCTTTCACCTTCATCTTCCTCACAAAGAATTTTGATCTGTAACACTAATTTTCACAGCATCTCTCTCTGTTGTTTCTGTTGGCTTTACTGCTGGAAGATCTATGAGCTATGGATACTCAAAGCCCTGAAAATAGCTCCTGAAGTCTATTTGCATTTAACTACTGAATTTAAACAGGCGCAGCAAACTGTGGTCATAATTCAACACATTGCTTATCTCATTGAGGCAAGCAAATTTGAATTGTAGTGGTGGTTGTAGTTCATCATCGAAGTAGTAATATTTCTAGAATATTTTATTGCCTAAGTAGAAACCCAGTGCATAATTTCGTAACTGCCATTTGTTAAACAAAACAATATGCCATATTTAAGAAGAAAACATACAGGAGCATGACGTCAATAAGCACTCCTTGCTGTCTTTTCCTATATGTGTTCTGGTTATGTGTCAAATGCTTTTCTTTATTAAAGGTAATTCTGCTTATGACAGAATAGGCACTTTTGTAGTGTTTACAAACATAACAGAAACAATGCAGAGATGTAATGACTTGGCTACTTTTCCTTATTACATTTTCTATATTGGTACCAAGGTAAAGTTAAGGTATGAGGAAAAACAGATTAACTGCCATTTAACTTTCTTCTCTGAAAAGCTGAGATGTCTGTAGAACATTAGTTCTTTCCACTTCCCTTTGCTCTCTATTGACCTCAGTGTGTTTGAAAGAAGCGTCTGTCTTATGTGGGCTCCTTTAAGCTGTTGTGGTGCTAATAAAGTGTTTGTGTATATTATATTGCTTTCTACACAGAGGAAAAAAAGTTCAGTATTTCTGCAAAATCATAGATGTCCCTCTGTAGTTTGTAATGGTTTTGACAAAAAAAAATTTGTTCCCAAATTTGGAGGTAGTCATTCTTTGAGACTTTCTCCAGAGGTGTCATAAAAAAATACACTGTGTTAATAGCCACAGGTTTCAGGTGGTCTGTCAGTTGAACAAATCACTTAAATACCTGTTTTCAAGTGTGACATTTTATACAATTGTGGAAGGTGTTTTTTTACTACATAAGTTAACTAATTTTCTGCTTTCTGATTTGCACTTCCTGACAAGTAAGGGTATTCATTTGTTGTATTTCAGAACTCGTCTTGAAGAACTAAGAATGTTTTTGGAGAATGAGACCTGGGAACTTTGTCCAGTTAAATCAAGCTTTAGTATTCTGCAGCTTCATGTATGTTCTATGAATAAAACATGAAAATGTATTACTGCTTTAATAACTAATATTCCAGGTGTTCTAAGAAGTAGTAAGATCATGAACTACTGTGCAAATGTTTTTACTGGCTACTAAAAACTCCTAAACTTTACTTCATGATATTATAAACTTAAGAATCAAATGGTTTTAAAACAGTAGTGTTTGTTTCAGGCAGGTAGAGGTTTACAGAAGATGCTAGAGTTGTAAGCATGGTGTTAGCCTTTGTTTTTCATGTTTTAATGTACTGCTAATATGTCTGTTTTCCATTTCTAAATTATTTATCTGACAGCAGGATGCTAAAAGATGAGTGTCTAAAAGCAGTCACATGAGCACTCACTAGCTTCTACCAATTTGGCATCTGTTTCTGGAAACATAGATCATACTGGCTCATTTGGGAAGGAAAAAAAGTATTCTTCTGTGGGGAAATCCAACTGAAAGCAAGTAATTGGTCTGCTCACCTTCTGTCCTAAAGGGATTTTGGTGAAGTTCAGCATGTGATGGATGAAATTCACTTGTTTTGCCAAATGAAATGTGGTGCCTATGATTAAAGTTGTAACTAAAGTGAAAAAATGACTAAAGTGCAAAAATCGCTAAGCAATCTTAAGCAAAAGATAATTTTGCAACTTCTGTAGAGTTAACTGTAGAAGTAAACAATGGGCTACTGGGGCAGTAATACTATAGATGGAAAAGGAAGGAGGACCCTCAGTAGCAAAAGAAATGATATTTTTAATAGAGAAATAGGATTAGAAATCCATCCATACTGCTCAAGGGACTGGAGCAGCAGAGAATGGCAGAATGTAACTGATTCATTTAAGCAAACAGAAATCTAACATTGTAGTCCTTTTAGCTGCATGCATTTTGATCTTTTAACCTTCAGGTAAATGAAAATGTACATTTTGCCAGTGTTAAAGATTATTAGCTAGAGTTTAATAGATAAAAATGATATACCAACTGACATAAGTCAAGGATTTTAGAAAAAAATGTCAAAAATCATGCATTATGTGCCCTACATGGTCCAAATATTTGCATGAGTTTGTGCACTCAGCCAGTGATCAGAAACTTTATGTGCAGTGGGTTTGAGAAGTAATAAATTTTGAAAAGAACTTATTAAAAATAAAATATAAACAGAAAATTTCAGCTTTAGTAAATTGCCAGGTAACCTGTAATGAAAGCTGTGTTTTTGGATAGAATTGAAGTCTTGTCTTATCTCCTAATTTTAGTGAAATAAAAAAAAAAAGTTTTCACCTAGTTCTAGACAGTGAATACTTTCAGAATTCAGGAGATCTATTACATGTCATAGCCAAACCCCACAAAAGTGGCAAATACAGGCAGTGTGAGATTGCCACTTTCAAGGTTAACTTGAGCCAGCACGAAAAGCATGTTTAAATAAGCAACAAACTTTGGCTAAAAGTTAATTGTCCACAAGTTTGTTGATATTCTGTTTTTATGGAACTGGAGTCATACTAATACTGAAACTGCCTTGTTTGTGATTAATATTGTACTTTATTTCTGTTGATAGGAATTTAAGTTCATGGAGCAGTCACGTTCCCCATCTGTGTCACCCAGCAAGCAACCTGCTTCAGCAATTGCGTCAACCGTGACGTTGTTTGAGCAGTACTGTAATGGAGGAAACCCATTTGAAATTCAGGCTGACAGCAAAGATGATGAGACAGAAGACGTGTTAGCTTCCAATGGGGTATGGAGTGTTTCAGAAAAAAAGCAAAAGCAAACCTTGCTTTCAGGAAATGATTTATTTTGTGTAGCATAGATGGCAAAATGGCTTAGTACAAGACTTGGTTAACTGCAGTACTGTGTTTCTTTGCTTTTAGCAGTTCCAGAAAGCCAGGCATCCTGTTTAAAGTTCAGTTTAGTTTGCAGTGGATCAGTATTTTTTTCCCCACTGAAGTCAAGTGTTCCTGAAGGCTAGAAAGACATGTACCTTCTAAATTAGGATTTTTCCATGGGTTTAAGGTAGCCTTCTCTGTGGAGGTAGTTTTTATCATTTTAGAACTGTCTTTCTGGCTTCATAGGGAAGAATCATTGTGGGTTGCTCCTTCTGTTGTATTTGTTCACACCTGCATGATTTGCCATGTATTATGTGATGTTTGTGGGGTAATTTTTAGTTGTAATTTAAATGCTCAGAACACTTGCTTTAAAGTGGGCACTACTATAAAGCGGAACAATAACTATGTGAGGCTTTTTTTCAGAATTCTGCCAAAATCTAGCAGTGGTCAAATATGTTTTAATGTAAAACTTCATGCCATTCTCTTAAGTGCTACATTGGCGCTTTTTTTTTTTGTGATAAAATTGGGTCTAGTTTTTTGTTTAAGGTTATTTAATCCAGCCATCATGCTAAGGGCTTTCTGGCTTTCAGTCTTACCATTATTACCATACTTTGTAACATTCAGACATTACAAAATGTGATGGTTTGCCTCTACTTGTTCCAGAATTCTTTTGAGATAAAGGCAAAAATCCCCACCCCAAATCCACATTTTTTATTGTAACAGAATAGTATTGTTTTACCACAGGAAGAGAATGAGTTTGAGTGTCTAATCATCCTGGTTAAAAATAGGGATTTCATTCTGAATTTGTCTCTAGACATTGGAAAAAGTATCTATATGTAAATTTTACTGGTTTCATACTGATTATTCACTGGTGGCTGTTTTTTGAACATGTGAAGCTCAGTCCCAGACAGAGCTGGAGCTACTTTAGAGAGTAAGCATGAGCTCATTAGTGAGGAATTACCTCATGTTTTGCCCGTGGGTGCTGGTGTTGCTGCAGGTGCAGTGGTGGAGGTGTGTCCCAGTGAATCACTGTCAGGATGCTGTATGCCTTGCTCTGCTTGGGCTTAGAGCAGTTGTGCAGTGGCAGGCTGTGGTTTTGGGGGAACAGGCTAGAGGGAGTTGTGATCCCATGAATTGGCAACACTGGCATGTCACCTGTGTAGCAAAGTCCTGGTCATGGTTCCCTGTCTTTAATTTTGAGCAGTGTCCCTCTTGGTAGGCTTCACTTTGTCAGGGACTTTGAGGACTGGCTGCACTCTCCTCTCTGTCAAAGCTGTGTGCCAATTTACTGCTCTTTATTAGTGGAACCTTAATATATTTTAAATTGATAAAATCTGATTTTGTGTCTGTTGAAGAACTGTAATGAATTTCAGCATTCATTTAACATCAGAGAGACTGAATGTTCTGTGTGGAAAAAGTGAAATGCCAGTGATATGCTTTATTATGCCGTTTCCTTGTGAAATATAGGTTAGATTTACAGTTACTCATATTGTAAGATTACTTTTTTGACCTTAAATGTAGGGCTATTTGGAAAACTTGGGAATAGTGTCTACAACTAGTTGGGGTTTTTTATAAACTAAAATGCGAAGTTAAGTTTCAGTTTTCTCAAAGCAATTTAAAATTGATTATGGAGGATGATACTTTTGATTTTTCTTCCCCCCTTGTAGAAATCAGTTGTGGTGAATATTTCCTTTGTTTGACATGTTTATAGCTATGCTGTATATAAGCAGGTTTATTCCATAGGATGAATTTAATGCATTGGAAAATGAGAACTAGCTGCTTTTAATATGGGAATATGTTAAGTCAATTTGAAGAGAGTGTGGACAAGAGTGTTCAACAATGCTAAGAAGGCACTTTTTTTTTTTGTCAGTGTATTAGCTGTTAACTCGGTCACTGAAAGGCTAAAATCCTCTCCACTATCTTTGAGACAGAGAAGTGCTATGCACATTTACATAGAGAATTGAGGCATGGGACAGGTTAATGTCAGTAGCTGTACAGGACGTCTAACAGGGCTGGTACTGAAACTAAGGTTTTTTGTGACCCAAGTGAGTATACCCTATGGGTGAGGTGACCATCCTGCTTTTCCTTCTGTTATTTTTAATCTCTTCTCCCCATTACTGTCTGTTCCAAAGTGCTGATATCTAGAGATAACTCCTATTTAAAAAAAAAAGAAGTTACACCTATTTTGTTATCATTTACATAGAAAGAGAAATAACTTGCTTAGTCAGTGAGGGATAAAATTTTTACAGAGGTTTTATGTTTTGGTTGCTTGGCTGACCGGTTAAGGTGGAGGCACATTTTAGCACTTTAAATTGAAATTGTTTCAGATGGAGACTGCAAAACTTTGTTTCCAGAGAATGCAGACATGTTTCCAAATATTTCAAGAAATATCATAACAAGGATATAAGCAATTAATTTACTTGTCAAATGATCTGTAGGATGATGAGAACTGTCAGGATTTCTTAGGAGAATTTAGAAGTCTTTTTAACTGCTTAGTTGTTGCAGTGCTGAAAAACTGACAACAGGCCTTGGGACCCAGTCACCACAGCTCTGTATCTTGAGCTTCAGTGAGATGATTTTATGTCCCTTTTCTGTAGCTTCTGAAAGTATCTGTGTTGTGGTACAGTTTACTTACAGTATTGTAACACTCTTCAGTGAATCTTATTGCTGCCCTGTGGGTTTGTTTGGGCTGGTTGCCTGAACACTTGTGAACTGATTATTACTACAAGATATCTGAATTCATTTTAGCACTTAAAAATTTTACTGCAGACTGTGCGTATTCAAAATAGATTTGTAAGATCTCTTCAGGTTGAGTTTACTATTTAATAGTTGTGAGTAACTGCATACTTTAAAATAGAAATGCATTTATCTCATTAAATAGGTTTTCCAAATCATTAATAGCATTAGATTGAGGAGACTTAATAAAGTATTTTTCCATGTTACATTTTTTTTTCCAAAATGCTCTTCTTCTATGATGTTAAGACACAGTTAATTAATGTCAACTGTCAAATTCTTATATCAGTATGAATTGTAGTTAACAATTTGTAGTCAATTTATCATTTTACTGTCACTGGATTTTAATTGAATCAGCATGTCATTTGTTATATATTAATGCATAATAAGTGGTGGTAATTCTTCATGCTAATGTTCCAGCCAAGTTAGTTAAACTGTGGCTCTTTTTGTCCTTACGCAGTGCTGAACTCGGCTCATTTTTTAAATAAACTGAGCTGCTTTCATTACAGCTTTCCTTTGTCTGAAATGCTCATGAGGCAGAAGTTTTGCCTGTAATTGCCATACTAATGATCTGAGCATTTCTTTTTAGAATGTGTCTCATATTACATTCTATTTTTCTACCTGAGCTGTTTTTGCTTTGTTTGTACTGTGGTATTCTTGCTTTTATAATATAGTGCTTTTGTAGTGCTAGGCTTTAAAGTCTCCATATCTTGGGACTAGGGATGGGAATTGCCATGCATGACTGAAAAAATATATTTCCTAGTGTGTTTTGGATGATGGAGAGACTGGGTTTTCCCCTCTAGACAGAGGTCTTATCCTTTAAAGCCCTCCCATTTCTTAAGGATTCTGAAACCAGACTGTCAGTCATGTGTGTTACTGTTGACTGTGTGGATAAAGTGGCTTTAAAGCAATATACAATTTAATAAAAAGTTAGAAGGACAAGTACTGGAGTCTCTCTTCAAGTGTGGATGCATTCTGGAGCCTGATGGATGGATATTGTTAAGGTCGTGATAGCTGTGTAGGTGTTCAGGGAAAAGGGTTATTTCACAGAGCATCAAGTATGTGATTTTCTTTAGTCTTTTCTGGGTTAAGAAATTCACTTTGTGAAAAGAATTGTTTCATTATTTATGAAGTGTCTGAAGCACATGTACCACAGAGCAACCTAGAACACCTGAAAAAGAGATTGACAGTAAATATTGCCTTTTATTGGAGTGAAGAAAGATTGCAAATTTCAGGTGTTTTAAAAACAATCCTAATTGTACTCTTTTAATATGTATGTGTGACTTCATAATTATAAAAGGCATTAATTATCTGTATATTTTGAGTAGTATTTAGCCACATAACTCCTACTCTAGCAATAATAATACACCTAGCAGGGAAGTCCTAAACCATGTTATTTGTGCTACAGCATGTGTTACTTATTTTTCAGACATCAGCTGTTAGACTCCTACGTTGTGTCCTTGAGTTGAAAATAGTTCTCTTGCAATCTTTGTAGTGAAATTCAACAATTGAACAGAGTGAAACAGTTTCAAAAAATTAAAACTGCAGATGAGTGTATGAAGACAGTAGTTATCTGTATCTCCTTATGTTTCTTAGTTTTCAGAAGGTGCAATTAGCATCAAATGTTCCTCAGTGTAAGAAGGCACATCTTGAGGCACATTTTTTGTAGGGTTATTCTGGAATAATTTGTGACAAATGAAGCAAATGGTGCATGAGACCTTTTTCCATCAAAGAAGTTTTCATTGATAATTACATCAATGTTTCAAACATCAGGATCTTACTCTTTTAACTAGTTAAGGGGTGGTGCATGTTTCAAAACAAAACCAAGAACCAGCACACGCAAATAAATGCAAACGTGCTTCGAACACCTGATGAAGGAGAAAGCAAGGGGAGAAAGGAAAGAAACTGCTTTTAATATAGGCTCCAGTGATTGATTCCACTGATACAGTTGAGTTTTGTATCATTAGAGTAGTTCTTAGAATCATAGGTTTTGGGTTTTGTTGTCGTTTTTATTTTTCTCTATGAGGACTGGTCTATATAGGTTGCAGAGTCCTGTTCCTCAACAATTTTTGTTGTTCTGTGACAGTGCAAAGCTTATATGTATGGAGTATACAGATATGCTCAAAGTTATTTGCCTTCCTGTTGATGTAGATAGAACAATGTACAGTGCAGAAAAATTAGTGGGAAAAAAATTACATGGTAATAGAGCCATGAGAAATACTTACATTGTTGTAGTACCATTTGACTACATACTGTTTTCTTGAAGTGTTTGTGCTTAGTCAAAATTGCATTGGTCTCTAACAAGTTAAGTGGTTGAAAGACTGTCTAGTAGAAATGTCTTCTGGATTTTTTCATATGAACAACTGCAAGTTGGTTTTTTTTAGTGTTGTCTGTTTAAAAAAATATGTGCAATATAAGCGAGTACTTTTGTAAAGCAATAGTTTAATCCTTCTTGCAATAATAATTAAGGATTGTAGTTCCAGGGTTTTTTTGGGTTCTGTTGTTTTGGGTTTTTTTTTAATCTTTTGTTTTATTGCCACGATATAGATGAATTTTGAGGTTTTAGTACTGTTTTTTTTTTCAGTTAATGAACTATGTGCTAAAACCTCAGATATTTGGGTACTTGATACAGCTACTAGAAAGCAAAAAAAAAAATTATTAGTAGCTGGGAGATATAGGATGATGCAAATATTAACTCAATCAACATCTGAAAATAGATGTTTGTTGAGAAATGCACTAACAAATGACTGTATAATTTGTCTGCTGAATTTTTACTGAACATTGTCAGCAGCTTTTCAACCTGCAGAGTTATTTGTATCCTGATCAAGGTAAAAGCTGAGCAGTGACCAAAATGCCATGTTCAATGAGTGACCATATTACAAGAAAAATAATGGCAGTCAATTTATGCTTTTTCTTTTTTTCTTTTTTTTTGAAACAGTATGAATCAGATGAACAAGAAAAAAGTGCATATCAAGAGTATGATAGCGACAGCGATGTCCCTGAAGAGTTGAAAAGAGATTATGTGGATGAGCAGACAGGAGATGCCCCTGTGAAAAGGTAAGTAGGCTGTGTGAGTCTTTGGTCTAATTTACATGCTTTTCATCTCAGTGCTCCAATTAGTTCACTTTCTGTTTAATCTATAATCTACAACAGTGGAATAATAATTGAATAATCTTTATGCTGCCTGCACAGTTAGAAAGACTCAGCACTTAAATCTCCATATTGGGGAGGAACATTAAACTGCTCATCATTATTGTGGAAAGCAAGATTCTGAAAGAGGATAAAGGGTCTCTGAAGCAGTAGTGGAAAACTGATTAGCAAGGACTAGATGTTAATTGAAGGTTCTTCTCTAACAGCTGTTGTGCACCCGTATAATTTCTGTTGTGTCAAAAGCAGTTGTTGGCAGACAAATGGCTTGAGGCTTGTGCTTCTGCTTTTGCAGAACAGTGAACTTCTACTGATTTAAAAAAAAAAATCATATTCTTCCCCATCTTGAAGGCAGTAATTTTGAATTTTAAATTATCTTTTTCTTTAAGAATATATATACAAACAGGGACAGAATCAATCAGATAGGTCATCTGGTCCAACCATCCTGCTCAAGCAGGGTCATCGTAGAGCACGTGGCACAGTATTGTGTCCAGTTCTTGAATATCTCCAGTGAGGGAGAATCCACAACCTCTCTGGGCAACCTGTTCCAGTGCACAGTGACTCATATGAATGTACATACTCTATTTTGATGAAAATATATTGAAATATTTTATTTTTATGTATTCATATAAATAAAAGCCAACTCTGTAGCCTTTAAAAGGATCCGAAATACAAATTTCTGTCTGGGACACTGTACAGCTTAGATGGCCATTCAGACTTTGTGAAGCAGACTAACATTTTTATGTAGGGATTGCAGAACTAGGATGGCATCACTTGGGTCAAAGCAGATTAAGGATTTTTCACAAAACAACATTTTAGGATAGCATTGTTAGCATGTTTTTATATGGTACATCATGTAAACTACTTAATTTCAAAGAAGTGCTAGAGATAAGAATTCCTTAATTGGAAGAAAAAACAGTCACTGTCCATAGGTTTCTGCTGTAAATTGAAGCATTCTGAATTTTTTGAAGAACATAATTTTCAGGCATGGCAGCTGTCAGAAGGTTTATCTTATAGAAAAAACTCCCTTCTTCTTGCAAGACTACAATTTATGAAAAATTCATTTACTTTTTTAGTTTCATGTTCAAACTGCATCCATTTCCAGATAGTAATTTTCAGCTGACTATTCTGCCCCTGTTTTATTGTGACTTGTGTTGTTGTCATTTTACTTCATGACCTATGAACTTGAGTCAGAGTGATTAAAATGGTTGCGGAGGCAAGACAGAGGTTTGCAGAACTCAAGCTTTGGACTACAAGTCAGAAACTCGTTTTTCAAGCACAATTCTATGTAAATTAGGTCAGGCTTCTCTCTTAGGTGTTAGACTGCTAACCCAGTTATGCCTTGGCATGAATAAAATACTGCACTGGAAGACATATTGTCATGTGAAACAACAGGGGAGGAAAATTTATTTTCTACTGAGTCTTATTTGTATGTCCTTGAATGTTGTCTCATTTGGTATATTTTGTTTTGTTTTCTTTAAAGTGTTTCTCGAGAAACTCTGAGGAGCAGAAAAAGATCGGATTATAACCTCAATAAAGTGAATGCACCTATTCTAACAAACACTACACTGAATGTAATAAGGCTTGTTGGTATGTAGAACAACTACAGTTTTTAATACGTGTTTTTTATTTGTGTGCAAACTTACAGAATATAGCAAATATGTTAAATGAAGTTTAAGGGCTTTAAAAATATACCTATTTCCACTCTTTGAAAATGTAAACAAAATAGTAATAAAACACTAAGCAAATGCTTTTTAATTAAATAGGCAAATTTGCTTATATCTTGTGCGTTATTTTTACTCTGAAAGTTAATCTGCCTGCATATATTGATTTAAACCTATAATAGTAGATTATTTGTCTCAGATACTGGATGTGTAAAAAGAGTGGAGATAGCAGGCAAAAAGATTAGTGTTCTGTGTTGCTGATGTGTCTTAGTGGTTTAAATGCTTTCTTTTACAGTAGAACACTTGCAACAGCAAGAACTTAAAGTCTGGGGGTTTTTTTTCCCCTTTCATTACTCAAATTCTCACTCAACTAATTTTATTACATGTAAAGAGCTAGAAGAAAAGCACCTCCTGTACTGTAATTTCAGTAATTGAAATACATCCTAGTAATCTCTAGGGAGTTTAGGGAATCTCTATCCTTGGAGATGATCAAGACATGACTGGACAGGCCATGGAGCAACCTCATGTCCTTACGCCTGCCCTGAGCAGGAGGTTGCACTCAGCATTTCTGGAGGTTTTTTCTAGCCAAGCATTTTCTATGAAAACACTCACCTCCAGTTCTAGGTGTAATGGGATTGATATTTGTGTGATCGTGAGTTCCATTTGATTAGTTAGATAATTGTTCAGTAGTAATTTTCTGCTACTGACTTTCATTTTATTTATAGAGCAGGGGAAGTAGCTACCTAAATTTATCAGGTTAGGCAATGAGGGAGGAATTCTGTATGTGTTGCATTAATGAAGTTTGTCTTCAATGTTTTTGTGCTTGAAAATGAGCTCTTTTAAAAGAGGCTACTCCAACGTCTGGTTAGTACCTTTTGCTGTCTTTGAGGGCAACATGTAAATCAAAAATTATTTTTCTAAACTCTTTCTGCAGGTTTGCCAAAACCTTTTTTTTACTTTGAGCATTTAGAATATAGGCCTGAAATAAGAATTGAGATCATTCTGTCATAACTTCTCTGTCATTGGTCTGTGAGTTAGGTTGGAGAGATTTATTTGCTACTTTCTAGTATAAGGTTTTGCTCTAAGAAAATTTAGGATAGAATCTAGAAAGCACTCATGGCACCTTCCTGCAAACCCCAGCCTCTGCCCCTGCCCTAACACAGTGTACGAGTAGGTGGAGCTGTAGTTCTGTTTTTCCAATTTTATATAAGGAGTCTTTCTATTTGTGCATTCTGTTCATAACCCCAAAATTAAACATTATTTTCAGAGCTCATATAGATGCTTTTTTCCCCTTCTGGAATTATGATTAAGTTTGAATTTTTCTGCTATTGGGGGTGTTTTACGTTGTTTTTGTAATGACTGATAACAGCACTATTTGAAAACATGGGATTGGAAAGGGACCTCCTGCAGCCTCTGCTACAGGCAGATGTACTGCCTGTAAATATGCATGTTTTGAGCTCCAGCTTCTGTTTCCACCACTCTATCTAATACAAATTCTATTCCTTATCAACCTAGTTGTTAAAAAAAACGAAAAAATTACGCACTTCTTTTCTCCCCACTTAAACATATGCCAAAAGAAGCTTTTAAGTTTAACAGATTGTCTTGTCCTTTGATGCATACTGCTCTGCTGTTCTTACAGGAAGCAACCTTATTTCTTCTCAGTCTTTGGCGCATTTTGTTAGCAAATGAAGCTTTTTGATATCCTTTGTATTTTTCTGCAAGAAACGTAAATCCCCTACTTCCTTACCAGTTCTTTTTCTGCACTTGTTATAGTCTTACCAAAATCAGGTGCAACACTTTGGGTGAGATCTTGCTGCATTGTGTCACTGTTGTATCTTAGCATCCTGATCACAAGTTCACTCCCTTTTCCATCTCTGGATTTCTCACAGCTTTCTTGTACTGGCAGTTCAGTCCATCTGTAATGACCTTGCACAGACAGAAGGTTTCCCATTTTTTCCAAGGGATGAGCTGCTAGTTTTCAGTAGAAAGATGCATGTTTTTAATTGATTAATTAATGAATGGCTTTGCATTTTGTACGACTGAATTGCATCCAATTTTTCTTGGAACAGTCAGCAAGGTACTCTAGTTCTTCATGTACATTATGTTCATCCCTTTCTGTTTTGCTTGTGCTGTCTTATTTTTTTCCATTATTCCACTCTTATTTTTATACTAGAGTAATTCATGAAAATATTAAAGAAGAGGTCAGTTGCTGGGAACTCCACTAGTACCTTTTCTAGTTACTAGTCTTTTCAACACACTCTAGCTTCACTTGCTTACTGTGCTATATTGTTAAATTATTGCTTTCACTAAGTCCCAGATAGATGAAATGTACTGTGTTCTTTGTCTACAAAATCATGGAGATTTCCTAAAAAGAATATACGTCGTAGTCTGGTGTAGTTTGCTTGAACAAACTTGGGATTTTTGTTTGTTTTATTAGTCTTCTGTAATTGGGAAACTCCTGATTTTTGCTGTCTTGGGTAAATTTAGTTTAGTGAGACTTTAGGAACTTTAAGCTTGTAACATAACCTTCTGGGTGAGCGGGTCTGATTTTCCACTCGATCCTCATCTTTGTCATTCTTTACTTCTACTTTCTTTGCTTCTAATGGACAATGACCCTGCCTCACTTTTACATTATTTTGTATCTTTTTTGAGGAATACCTACCATTTGATATAATAAATGGAAACAGGCTGTTTTTTCACAATATTGCTGCTAGATGCAAACTGCGTATTACACCTCTACCACAGAAATCAAAAATGCCTTCATCTCTTGTCATGACTTTTGGCCTTAGCATACAAATGTTTCATTTACTTCTTCCAGGCAGCATCCCCAAAGGCATCAAACACATTTCTTGAACTATTTGGTTAATGACTACAGAGACAAGAACTAAAGATACTCCTATTTAGCCACACTATTCAGTGTCTTGGTTTTTCTTCCCTTCTTGTTTACCCTCTTGTCTCATGAATCATCCCTATTAAATGTGAAGATAAGCGTGTTGTTGCTTGGCAGATTTGGATGGGCGTGATGAAGGTATGATCCACTCCCCTGGGTTATCCTCCTGCAGATGCGAGTGCTGTGGAATATGCCCATCTTTTAACAACAGTCTCTGCTGATGCTATGGAAGGCTCCAGTTTGTCTTGCACTGTCTCAGACTTTTGGCTAGGAATATACCACAGTTCTTATCAGTAATTTTGGGGAGTGTAACTAAGATGGTTGTCCAGGATCCCTTCATTATCAATGGAGAACTGTAGGTGACTCCAGAAAATGATGGAGTTTGTTGGCTGTCCTGCATGTCTTTGCTTGCATGCTATTGCACAGACATCTTACCATTTACCTTCTGCAGCTGCTTGCACTCTGCAGCAGACATCCAGGCAACCAGTGTGGGCTAGGGGGCTAGTTTTTAGATGAAGTTGAACAAAGTGGATTGCATATCCACCAGTGGTGTGGTGCCTCAATAATAAATAGGGGTCTAATGTAGTACGGGGAACACTATAGACATGTCCTGTCTACTTTTTAAAAAGTTCAATTTCTTGAAAATAAGGCTCTGTTTCAAGAGACATTTATTTTGCTGGGAGTAACTTGACTACTTGTCTCTGCTGCCTTTTGTCACTGATATTTCTGGCTCCTGTATGATGCATCAGCACGCCCTTTGGTAGGTCTAGATCAGCTCCCTTAGTTAAAAACAAGCAATAAAGGAAACTAGGTTTAGAAAGGGAAGTATGAAGTGAGATGAAGATGCAGATTTGGATTACCCAATCAAATAACAGAAATCGTTGCCTCACTTTTTAGGAATGTAGTAGTACTCACTGAACGAGTCTAACAGTGCTCATAACCCATGTTGAACCATTTCTGTGTGCTGGATGCTTTGTATGGAGGCTGGATGAATAAAACAAAGTGTAGCCTAATATTCATAAACTACATAAATGAGCTGCTGATGTGTAATTGAAGTGGGAGCTGCTACAAATTTCTTTAATTTGAATTTCAAGTGAACAGTTCAATTTATCAGATTTTTCCCTCAAGTTAATAAATGAGGTAATTATTTCTCTCTTTCCAGTATAAAGTAACCGTTAGGTAAATCTCTAAGGTTAATTTTTTCCTGTCAAGCCACTGTACATTGACTCAAAATGTAAAGGAAGAATCAACCTGTATTACATTTGTAGGGAGTACTTTGACCAAGCCCTGTACATCACCAGGAATGGTTAATGGTTACTTAATTGTATATATCGATTGGGTGATTTCTTATTTTAATTAATGTCTTTCTGTTCTAAGAAACAGTTTAATGCGTATTTCTTGGGTTGGGAGTTTAAATGCCTTTTTTTGGCCTCATGTTTACTTGTGTTGTAAATTGTTTTTGAGAAGAGGCTTAGCTTTTGTTTGCTTTAAAACTCACTAAATTTTAAGAAAATAGTAATAGTGAAGACAAATCTCACAGCAGAAATCTTGTAGCTGATGTGATTGGTCACAGAGCATAGAACCTCATGCAGTTTAAAAAAACGCTAAATCACCCAGTCTTTCAAAATTGTATAATTGCAATGCACTTTCCACATTTTCCTTCAAAGTGGCATTTTATCTCCTAATATATGTTGTAGGGAGCAGCATGTTTGGGTTTGTGAGACCCCCTAGAAATAATTTTCCTAATGACTACAGATATACTAAAACTCAAATACATATTTTTCAGGAGGTGGTGTATTTCTTTACCTTTTATTGTTTTAGTGATCAGTTCACGGAAGTTCCATCCTTTTGACAGCCTCCCTTCAGACACTTATATACATTGGTAAGATGCCCTCTCAGTCTTCTTGAGGCTGAACAGGCCCAGGTCTCTCAGTCTTTCCTCATAAGAGAAATGCTCCAGCTACATCTTCATAGCCTTCTGCTGGACACACTCCAGGAGCTTCATGTCTCTCTTGTCCTGAGGAGCCCAGCACTCCAGATGTGGCCTCACTGCAGCTGAGTAGAGGGGCAGGATCACTTCTCTCATCCTACTGTCAATGTTCTTCCTAATGCATCCCAGGATTCCATTGGCCTCCTTGGCCACAAGAGCACACTGCTGGCTCATGAATGTTTTGTTGTCCACCAGGACCCTCAGGTCCTTTTCCACGGAGCCACTTTCCAGCAGGTCAGCACCCAGCCTACAATGATGGTTACGTAATGGGGTTATTTTTCCCCAGGTGTGGGACTCTGCAGTTGCCTTTGTTGAATTTCAGGCAGTTCCTCTCTGCCCATTTCTCCAACCTGTTGAGGTCCTTCTGAAGGGCTGCACAGCACTCTATGGTATCAGCCACTCCCCCAGCTCTGTGTTGTCAGTGAACTTGCTGAGAAGGCACTCTATCCCCTCAATCAAGTCATTGATGAACAAGTTAAACAATACTGGGCTCAGCCTTGGGGGCCACTGCTAGTGACAGGCCTCCAACTAGACTCTGCCACTGATAATGACATTCTGAAACCTGCCAGTCAACCAGTTCTTGATCCACCACACCATCCACTTGTCCAGTCCACACTTCCTGGATTTGTTAGGAGTATACCATGAGAGAGCCTTGCAGAAGTTCAGACAATATCCACTGCTCATCCATCCAAGTTGTGGTCTCATCCTAGAAGACAATCAGATTGGTCAAGCATGATTTAGCTTCAGTGAATCCATGTTGAATACTACTGATCAGCTTCTTGTCTTCCATGTGGGTAGAGATGGCCTCCAGAATGAGGTGCACCATCACCTTTCCTGGGATTGAGATGAGGCTGTCTGGCTAGTAGGTCCCCGGTTCCTCCTTCTTGTCCTTTTCGAAGACCAGGGTGATACTTGCTTTTCTCCAGCCCTCACACACCTCTCTTGATCACTGTGATCTTTCAAAGATAGTCATGAACAGCCTTGCTATGGTGTCCATCAGCTCTCTCAGCACCTGTGGATGCATCCCATTAGGGCTTATGGACTTGTGTATGCCAAGTTTGCCTACACGTTTTCTAACCCAATCCTCCTGGAAATAATAG